ATGGCAGAATTGTCTAGCTAGTTAACATCTATGCAACACTTCTGATACTGAATGTGTGGCAGAATTGTCTAGTTAGTTAACATCTAGCTATGTAACACTTTTGATACTGAATGTGTGGCAGAATTGTCTAGTCAGTTAACATATATGTAACACCTCTGATACTGAATGTATGGCAGAATTGTTTAGTTAGTTAACATCTATGTAACACCTCTGATACTGAATGTATGGCAGAATTGTCTAGTCAGTTAATATATAGCTATGTAACACCTCTGATACTGAATGTGTGGCAGAATTGTCTAGTCAGTTAATATATAGCTATGTAACACCTCTGATACTGAATGTGTGGCAGAATTGTCTAGTCAGTTAACATCTTTGTATGTAGATGCATGAAATGTTTAAATTACAAATGATCCTGAATATAAGTATTTTTTCAAAAGTATTTCAAAATGTAATAATTATTTACACTTGTGATCTTCCCCATAAGAGTCTTTTACTTAGTTTATCATTTTTCTTTTAACTCCTATTTTCAGGATGCAGCATCCACACACCCATTTACAAAAATATTCTTGATTACATTCAAATATGTTTTTAATTAGATGAAGTTTCTTGTATCACAATTGGATATATTTTATGAAATGAAGATTCTTGTATCACAGTTGAATATGTTTTATTTCGTACGGTTGAAAGTTGGAGAAATTAATATTTATACTTACTTTATGTCCAGGCATTGAAGGAAGAAGAAAAACAACAGAGAGAAGCCAAAAAGTTGCTTTCCATGGATGAACGGGACCGGCCTTATAACAGTATGTATGAAGCCAAGGCTATAACAGAAGAGGAAATGGAAGCTTACTTTATGAAAAGACTCCGACCAGAAGACCCCATGGCTGCATTCCTTGGAAACTAGCAAGCAGCCTGCTAAACCTGCTGTTAGACAGTTTCCAAAGCATATAACTAATATCTTTAAAAGAACTTGGGTAGTTTGTCTGTTTTGAAACAGGTATTAAACTTAAGACTTGAGAATAGTTGTGACAGTTTATCATCCTCGGGTCCAGAAATGAAGAAAGTTTGATGATGTTTTCAAGAATTGGAACAATGGCTCTTGTTTTAACCAGGTCAGCTCAATGTTTGCTTTTAGGGGGTGGAAACAAGCTACAAATTATATGTTTGTATGAGGAAGAAGAACATTGGGATACAACATTGTTAAAGTCATGAACGTGTGAGTTTCTCTATCATTGTCTTGTAAAGAAACGATTTCTTTCTCTTAAAGTTATTTCAATCTTAATAAATCTACACATAATTTGAAATATATTCATAAAATGTTTGTTTAATGGTTTATAGAGATGAACCAAGAACATCACTACGTGATTGATGTAAGACCATCAGAAATGATTTTACTAGTAAACCTAAGTTGAGTATTTCTGCTTTAGAAGTTCAAAGCTCAAGATATAAAATGTGTTAAATGAGGCTTATTGCTGTGGAGTTTCTTAATTAGATGATTGGTTCATTTGTTTTGGTATACACATTCTTGACATTATTTGAAGTGTACATTTTTGTATTACATGTGTAATTTCATTACACCTCCAATATGAAGTAAGATAAGGTTCTAAATTTACTCAAAAAAAACGAGAAGGATTGAATGGTTAACATTCATTTCATGGTGTTGTGTGTCTGAATAAGTGTACAGTAAAACCAAAGTTAGAATTGTACAAATGTTAAAGGTAATAATAAGAAACAAAAATGTGACATGTAAATATGGAATTACTTGAATATTTACTTCTCAGTAGACTTAGGATGTGTATCTATTTTGTTTAAACTGTACTGTATATCATACAGAACTTACATGTTTATTTTGTTTTTAAATACACATCATTTAATGTTAACTTACTGTTCCTCTTCTGTATTGAATAGCTTTGTATTCTAATAAAAAAATTTTCAAAGTGTGTCTGAACGAAAATGTTTTGAGACATCAGCAGTTGTTAGCTGTTTAAACCACTGATCTATATAAATATAATAGTACTGTCTATTGTATGTCCATCTAACTACTTCTATATAAATATAATAGTACTGTCTATTGTATGTCCATCTAACTACTTCTATATAAATGTAATAGTACTGTCTATTGTATGTCCATCTAACTACTTCCATATAAATATAATAGTATTGCCAGTTGTATGTTCATCTAACTACATCTATATAAATGTAATAGTACTGTCTATTGTATGTCCATCTAACTACTTCTATATAAATGTAATAGTACTGTCTATTGTATGTCCATCTAACTACTTCCATATAAATATAATAGTATTGCCAGTTGTATGTTCATCTAACTACATCTATATAAATGTAATAGTACTGTCTATTGTATGTCCATGTAACTACTTCTATATAAATATAATAGTACTGTCTATTGTATGTCCATGTAACTATTTCTATATAAATATAATAGTACTGTCTATTGTATGTCCAAGTAATTACTATATAAATATAATAATACTGTCTATTGTATGTCCATCTAACTACTTCTATATAAATATAATAGTACTGTATATTGTATGTCCATCTAACTACTTCCATATAAATATAATAGTACTGTCTATTGTATGTCCATGTAACTACTTGTATATGAATATAATAGTACTGTCCATTGTATGTCCATCTAACTACTTCCATATAAATATAATAGTATTGTCAGTTGTATGTTCATCTAACTACTTCTATATAAATATAATAGTACTGTCTATCGTATGTCCATGTAACTACTTCTCTATAAATATAATAGTACTGTCTATTGTATGTCCATCTAACTACTTCCGTATAAATATAATAGTACTGTCAGTTGTATGTCCATCTAACTACTTCTATATAAATATAATAGTACTGTCTATTGTATATCCATGTAACTACTTCTATATAAATATAATAGTACTGTCTATTGTATATCCATGTAACTACTTCTATATAAATATAATAGTATTGTCAGTTGTATGTTCATCTAACTACTTCTATATAAATATAATAGTACTGTCT